ATGTTCATGAGTGATATTGGTCTATAATTTTCTTTCTTAGTGACGTCCTTCCCTGGTTTTGGTATGAGGGTTATGCTTGCTTCATAAAATGTGTTAGGAATTTTCCCATCCTCCTCTATCTTCTGGAATAATTTGAGTAGAATTAGTGACAGCTCTTTCCTGAATGTTTGGTAGAATTTACCAGTGAAGCCATCTGGGCCTGGACTTTTTTTGGTTGGGAGTCTTTTGATGACCTGATCAATTTCTTCTTTTGTTATGGGTCTGTTTAAGTTTTCTACTTCACTGTGTGTAAGTTTAGGTACATTGTGTTTATCTAAAAATATATCCATCTCTTTTAAGTTTTCAAATTTGTTGGAGTACAACTCTTTAGAGTATTCTGTTATTATCCTTTTGATTTCTTTCGGTTCTGTTGTGACATCGCCCATGTGGTTTCTAATGTGTGTTATTTGTGTCTTCTCCCTCTTTTCTTTTGTTAGGTTTGCCAATGGTCTGTCGATTTTAATCATTTCAAAGAACCAGGTTCTTGTCCAGTTGATTGTTTCTATAGTTTTTCTGTTTTCTATCTCATTTATTTCTGCTCTAATCTTTATTATTTCTTTTCTTTTGGTTGCTGTAGGTTCCCTCTATTGGTCTGTTTCTAATTTTTGTAGATGCTGTGTTAATTTTGGTTCTTTCTTTTTGGATGTGTGTGTTTATTGCAATAAATTGTCCTCTCAGCACCACTTTCTCCTTGTCCCAAAGATTTTAATATGTTGTGTTTTTATTCTCATTTGTTTCTAGGAACTTTGTGAATTTATGTTTAATTTTTTCTACTACCCAGTCGATTTTCAGCAGGGTGTTATTCAGTTTCCATGTGTTTGACTTGATTTCCTTGGTCTTCCTAGTGTTGATTTCTAATTTGATAGCATTGTGGTCTGAGAAGATGCTTTGTAGTATTTTTGACATTTATAAATTTATGGAGATTTGTTTTGTGGCCTCAAACATGGTCTATTCTGGAGAATGTTCCAGGTGCACTGGAAAAGAATGTGTATTGTGCTGTTGTTGGGTTGAATGCTCTGTACACATCTATGAGGTCCAATTGGCTGATTGTGTTGTTTAGTTCTTCTGTGTCTTTGTCAAGTTTCTTTCTGGTTGTTCTATCCATTGTTGAAAATGATGTATTAAAATCACCCACTATTATTGTAGATTCATCTATTTCTTTCTTCAAATCTATTAGCATTTACTTTATATATTTTGGAGCTCTTTCA